GACAAAGCGTATTGAACAATATCAAAACCTTTCTCGTCAATTAAAATAATTGCAAGGCCTAAGTGATCGTAGATGGCGAATATCACACATATTTTCTGGAAACTAACGCCCAACTGAGTTACGAAGTCTATCACCCTTAAATATTGCTATAGATAATTGTCAGCGGCTGCATCAAAGGCGGCAGGCGCCTGAACCACGTACTTTAAACAATGGGGTCGCCCCAACGAGTGCTACGTTGAGAATATGCAGATAGCTTCTGGCGGAACATATAGAATTTTCTAAACGATCCCTGACCCCTAATTTCCGACGAATTATTGCTGAATTTTAGGTTACATGAATTGTTTCAAAAAAATAACAGCAATGAAGACTGAAGACATGAGTGACTTACAGAGCTGAAGTAAGTCTCTAGGATGTTGTAAGCCAGTTTGAATATAGTTTCATTGGCGTTCTGTTGAAGTTCTTCAATGTGGTTTAAACCACCACAGGCCTCAATGGCGTTAACGACTTCTTCTAATTTATCGCCAGCGACACGCAAGATATTAGATATCCCATCAAGCACAACCTGCACCACTTGGACGTCACGTGCAACCAGCATTTTACATAGCGGCGGGATGACGTTTTGACTTATTAGATAACGGACCTGAAAGAAAACAAAGGTCGGTCAACTACATTGATTTGAACGGAATGGAAAGTCTGGTTGGTATAATAAGCATCTACTCACCTGTTTGACAGTGCCATTAATTGTCAAATTAGATATGGCCCATGCGGCCTCTTTTTGGGTCAAAAAGTCACTGTTGGCCAAGTGACCGATAATGAGGGGGACGAGGTCGTGATCAATGACTGCCTGGACTTGATTTTGATCGCCAGCAGTTATATTTGACAAGAACCACACAGCTTCCTTGTTGATCTTTTCTTTTGGATGGTTCAGCAGATGGTGAAAATGGCTCAGAGCTCCACAGTCTAGGACAACTTGCGTCTGCTGGTCCGTTCCTGTTACAATGTTTCCAACGGCTCGCAAAGCAGCGGTTTGCACTTTGAAATTAGGGTGCGACAGAAGAGGAACAAGATGTGGCACAATCTCGGCATCAATAACCATACTGATTAGGTAATTTCCTCCATCGGTTAGGTAAGAAATAGCCCAGACAGTGTCGACGAGTATTTGCTGTAGGTAAGAAGAGAGTTGTCGATCAATTTGAAGAAGGAGAATTTACACGTACGGTCACATTTTAGTACTTAAAGCGGTATATTGGGAATTAATAGAAAGGCAAGGCAGGCGTAAATGTGCATACATTAAGTGAGACGTAAGCATTTGCGGACGAAATAACTAATTTCAAGGCTACTGCGAAGACTTACATTGTCCGTCGTATTGGTGATAAGATACAATAGTGCGGGAAGCAATTCCTGTATGGTAGAGACAGGGGGTGGAGGATCCTTGTTTCTGCATAAATTGACCATCACCCAAGTAATATTTCGCAAGAACGTGATAGAAATGTTGGGTGTCAAGAGGTTCAGAAGAGGTTTTATTAATCCCATCTCAATGACCAGATCCCGGAGCTGCGGGCCATCACCGATTATGTTTCCCAGTGCCCAAACTGCTTGCTCGGACACATTTGCGTGATGAGATGAGAGGAGCTTCAGGAAATAAGGAACGGCACCCGCCTGCACTACGGCGGCAGTTTGTTCGGAATTCCCAGAGGCAATATTTGTTAGCGCCCACGCTGCTTCGAACTGAAGAGTAGGGCTATAAGATCAAACGAGATGGTTCACTAGACAACATGATAGAGTGAGAATAGAGTATGAGAATCTTCAGTGCGTAGTTTTACCATTACCACGGTCAACAATATATTTGGTGATGGGGGCAAGCTTAAACTACCGAACACGGAATCTCAGCATTAGTATGATAAGACACTGAAAGAGAGCAACCCTAACAAACTTACTTATCTGAGTCTAGGCAGCTGACAAGCATTGGCAGGACTCCACAGTTAATCAGTTCGTCAATGGGAGGATTACGGTCACTTGACAGTAATTTTCGAGCAGATTGAACGACCAAAAGGCGGACTGCCGGGTTTTCGTTATTGGCATTTGCGACGACCGCATTAAGGTTGAATAGAGCTGGCTTCTCCGCTTGGTCTAAATCAGCGTCCGCGGGGGGCGTAGACGGCATGTTCCTCTTTTTTTGTAGGCACTCGTCCTTTTTTGTCTTGCGCAGCTCAACCTGGCCTTCCTGGCGGCGCCTCCGCATTTCCTGAAGAATTTACTTATTTTAAAATAAAAAATCTTACTTCGGCACTTTTGCCTGCATTCTTAAAGGCTAATTGCCTTGCGTTCGCGTTGGTATCACTCATAGCCGACACAACGCTAAAGCAGCGAAACTGAAACTTCGGCTCACAAAAACAAAAAGTAATGCCAAATTCACAGTCATTAATTTATTTCCGTAGCACATTTCTTTATAGTATTAGCAAGTCCCATATGATAAGTTATGACCAAATAGTCATTTATCCTTCGAAAACCTGTTTGGTCGACACGTTTAAGTGTCTGCTAATGGCCTACAAAAGTCCCCGTAAAATGTTCGCCAATTAATACCAATCAATTTCCAAAATGTATTACGCGTGTTTAGGTAGGAAGATTATTGTATAGCAAAAGGTATACTCTGAAGTGTTCAATAATTATTGGACTGGAAAGCAGTCACCTGTTGGAGGTCTGGAGGAGGACACTACGTGTTGAATTGTCATTTCCTTGGGAATTTCAAAAGATGTGCTTTGGGGGTAACAAATACAGCGTGTAAAGAAGCATACCTAAGCTTCTTTCAAACAGATTGAAGTTTACTTAATATTTTGGGGCACGGCGCCTCCATGGCGCCTGCGACCACGGCTTTAAAGTAAATGTTGTACGCATATATCTAACCTCAAGTGCAACCAATCAAATACGTCAACGAATTCTCAGCAGTTCCTTCCCGTAAGAAATAGTGACATTCACAGTAGACTATCTTGTCTCGCTTCCTTTCTCCTGATTTCTGCATTCGTCAGGAACCTATTTTTGCATCGTCTACCATGACTTTTTAAATGGTCTCCTCTCCAGAGTTCCATTTCACTTTTGAATGTCTACTTAAAATTACACCCATGCCGCACTCTCAGAGGACTGCAACTTGATTACCTCCTGAGCTACGGCAGACGAAGCCTTTGCCTTTTCTGTGCAAAGTGAAGGTTATGACCAGAAACAAGCGCCGCTTCAAATACACCAACCAGGAATGGCTGTAATCCTACGCGTTGCGCGATCATCCGTCCAAGTTTCAGCTGATGTATCCATAAATTGAAAGCTAATCCAACTAATCAGTTCCTCATTCTCACATAGACGTGTTGGACACAGACGCATGTGACAACATCATTTACACGCCCTCAGTAC